TACGATGCATCTGCGCCCAGCACGACTAAATGTGTTTCACTTGACTTTATTTCAAGTCTACAACCACATTCCATATGGTGTCAGCTTTGCACAGTAGGATGTAGGGCTTCGCTTTGTTGTGCTGCAAGATGAATGAGATGCACAGGCTGTTTGTTGTGCGAGCCCAGGCCATCTATCTATTTCACAGCATAAATGCAAATGTTTTCTACACAAAGTGAGGTTATGCAAGGTATGCCGGTTAAGGGGAAGGGACGTTAACACTATAATCTAAATCTCATAAAACCAAGAGGTTTTGAATGATGAATCATTATTTAGTTATTTATATTCCTGTGACTCAGTGATTTCAGTGACATATTTTATATTTTCCATCAGAATGATCCTCTATATCATCAGACATGCTCAATTGCAAGCACAGAATTCATTACTGTGATTTTTGAGTGTTGCTCAACCTGATGGCTAAATGGTAAACAACTGCCCCCAGCTGGTAGGAAATGAAATTACACTTATGTGTCCAAAAAGGCAGGTCCCATTTCTACCATGTTCACAGAGAAATAAAAAAAAAATCAAGATGTATTTATTAATTTCTTCAATATTGAGTGAATTTTATTTGGATTTTATGAAAAAGACAAAAGGATCAACAGAATATTGGTGAACATACAGCATCAAGGAAGATCAAGGAATACACCAAACAAGACTAGAATATAGTTATGAATAAGCTTAACAAAAGTGAAATGAAGCACTGTTTATCAAAACTTGAGGTTAAAACTGCAAACCTGTTGCTACAAGTTAAATTCAATGGGTAATAAAGGAGTCAACCATAAATGAACATCCAAGAGGACGATTGTTAATATGAAGCACCTGCTGTGAGCCATAGCTCAGGTAGGTAACTAAATTGAAACAAAAATTGAACCCAGATTACCTTCGAGACAATGTTCGCTTGGTGAAACACGGAGCTGGTAACCTCATGCTGAGGTGATACTTTTCATGTTGACTTAAGAAGTCTGAATACAAATGTATCACCAAGCTTGTTCGATTTTTAATTGGGGGGAAAAAATTAAAACATTCCCCCTTTTTTCCATTTCTTAAGTATACACCTGCATTGGCCAATCACATAAGATCTAAATAAAACACACTACAATGTGTTTTGCACTGCAAAAACAATCTATAAATAAATAAATATGTCTAATAATTAAGTGTATTTACCACTAATTTAAGCAAGTAAATAAGATGATCTGCCAATTGAATTAGTATTTTTACTCTTAAAATAAGATAATTAGATATTATGCACTTGAAATAAGACAATCTTATATCAGATGGAAATCATTTTGTTCTATTGTAAAAGTGTCTCACATTTTTTGCATTGTAAAGAAAGAGAATCAGAAAATATTCAAGTGGTGTTAATACTTGAACAATGCTCTTTAATAATACCTTTTTTTTCTTCTGACATCTACATAGAAATATCATCATAGTCCTCTGATCATTAAAAAGCTACCCATTAATTATTTCCTACTGTCCTATTAGCTTGAATACTTTATATAATCTTTAAAAAGAAGCTTTATAATTCATAAATCTGACTTTATAGACTTCATAAATGTTGTTCTTTTTATATTGTGTAATAAAAAGGCGCCACTAGGGTAAAAACACACACATACCTCCAGGATACAGCCGTATACCACTTGTCTCTGGGGCTATTACGTTAACTCTGCACACCCATCCACATATCTGGGCCGCTTCTGCAACCATCTAATTATTCCACAGCTGATCAGATATAGGACACCCACCCACCCACCCTCCTCCTCCTCCTCTTGAGACCATGCAGAGAACAAAACATTCTACATTGTTTGTTGTTTTTCTCTTCTTAAATACTAAAATCGTCACTCTGGCTTCTGCGCCCTATATCATTTTGAGGAATTCTCAGCAGAGCTGCTGCAGTCACTGTGTGGCTATAACAGACAGTGACAGAAAGGACAGATAAACCTCTTGATGTGCTGCATTTTCATGCAGCCGCTGGAGGCAGAAGCCATTTTTATCAGTCACTACAACAAGTCCTTTGGCATCTTGGGGATAGGGAAAACACACCACATTCATTCTGTAACGAATCACTGATGATCTCCCAATCCATTTTTATTGTGATAGTACAGCTGATGTGACAAGTGCAAGTATGTAAACCGCTACTGTCAATGTCAGACTTTAACAAAGAATAGGGAAGAATACTGGCTGACAGAGCTATAAATGGAGATATAACTGAAGCTCGCAAGTGGAATAAATGAATGAATCGAGCTAAAGCATTCATCTGGAGGGGCAGAGCGACTCTTGTTGCTGACGCTGACTGGAAACATGGGATTGCTTAACTAGCCATTGCAAAGACTGGGTCAGAGTGCTGCAGTTGATCAAATGCGCTGCCAAGTTGGATCATATTTACTCATCTGATTAGGATATTAAAAAAGACTTTGCAATTAAATCAGCTCCCTTGAAAGGCCAATTTGCAGAAGCACAATTAACATTTCCATAACAATCACATCCAATAGCCATCAGCTATCACCAGTTATGTGATGTAAAAAACAATAAACCAATAGGTGCAGTTATTTATTTTTTTTTAATGAAATGCTTCTACCTCACTCATTAATGAGAGGTCAGATCTGGGTATAAATCAATGCTGAATAAATATTAACCTAGCACTTTAGATAAGAATTGTGTTTCTTTCCGTTTGAATTAAGAATGCAACATTTCTACCCCACAAACACGGTCATCAAACTCCAACATTGCTGCTAAATGTTTGCAGTAGCTAAAGAATTTCAAATATTCCAATTATATAATTGAGCTCTATTGGTCTCACATTGGAGAAATGTATCTCTGCAGTTCACCCATCCCCTTGGGGAGCAGTGGGCTGCCATTGTGCAGCGCCCAGGGAGCAATCAGGGGTTAAGGGTCTTGCTCGGGAACCCAGAGTGGGGTTCAAACTAGGTACTTGCAACCTTCTCAAAGAACAAGCACACTCCTCCAATTAGTAATGACCTGGCAACCCACTGCAAGTTAATAATGTATTTCACTGGTTAACAGTGTTTTTTTATATTGTGTTTTCATTGGTTTGACCACCTTTGTGCAGGAAGAGTGGCTGATGGATTAATGAAAGGATTTTTTTTGGTAAAATCCCATTTGGTGACGACCATATTGGATTTGGATCATAATATGGACGTTACTTCTCACGTTGTGATGATGTAAATATACTATCTTTGCTCTTCCCAACCATTTTTTGGATGTTCCAACACAGCTCAAACAGATGAAAAGGGATGATCATTAAAATTAAGGTGAGTGAATAAAGGAAATGAGGCTAATCACTGATTAACCGAAGGGATATTATCAGCTCCCTTCTCATTTGATCCTCATTTATTACTCCTGATTGAACAATAATGTTTTCCACCTGTACACAATGGGACTCTGATGAAGTCAGAATAATAACAATGGTCTATTAAGATTCTTCTCGTCCTATCAGCCTGGATGTTAGAGAGGGACGATCTAATCAAATGATAATGTTTATCTACAGAGTTCATACAGAGGAAAAAGGAATTTGCATTAAATCAAGGTTGAAACATAAGTTCTGACAATAAGTGTTAAATGCATAGTAATCAGATTTAAAGCTAATTTTGTAAACTATTATTTATAAATGGAACTATACCATGTTGAAGAGTTGGACAGAATAGTTTGGATGTTATAAAAGGAAAAAGAGATCCTAAATATCAAACTTTGGGCCTGATCTGATTAATTGAATTTCACCAAGTGGTCCAAAAACGTTGGTGTAAAGTTATTTATGCTTGTAATACAGCAGACGTGTACAAAAAAAGAATATGTTTAATTTTTACATTCGCTTGTGGCACTAAGAGACTATAAGGTGCACTACAAATATATATTTTTAATAATTATCAGCTACCTCCACCTTTATAGCTTTAATTCTCATCTTTGGTTTACTGCCACTCAAACTGCTAGTAACAAACCAATTTCTGGTTTTAATGGGCAGAACAGCATCAGTTTGCACGTCTTAACATTTGTGCAGCGATCTTTATTTAAACCCTGCATCAAAACAGTAACCACTGCATGAAAGTTAATAACGTTTTCTCCGTTACATTAATGGCCTGAAGAGGAATCGGAAACTGTGACCCATCCATTTTAATATCACAGGTTCTGGCTATTCACATTAAGGCCAGTCGTCTAAAGGGGGTGCAAATAGTTGGATAAGAAATTAACTAGCAGATGATTATACCTTGTTTAAAAAAAAAAAAATGAATATCAAATCCTATTAGTTATAGAAAAAAATAATACTTTGAAATATCTGGACTTTATCGTAACCCTGTGAAATAAAGGCTGTTATCGATTGTTCAATATGAGTTAAAGTTAAAAACTAATCCAGCTAAGCCTTATCAACCATCAGGAAAAATTATAAAAGAAGTTCTATAGATTTTGACCAATTTAAAACACTCAAAGATCTTTTACTGGGAGGTTATATTCTCTTCACAAAGGCTGAAAAGCATCTCCGGGCCACACTGCACAGATGTTAGACTCTGATTAAAGAAAAAAAATAGGACATTACTGTTCAAATTGTGTGAACTGTTTCTTGATATTAAAAATCAGAAATGTGCATGATATTCAGAGACCTTACTCTCATACATTTCCCTTAATAATATATATATTTTTATTAAATTAAAACAATATGTCCAGAAATGTTCATCTATTTAAAACTCAAACTTTAATTATAATACATTTGGCTGTTTGGAATCAATTACTTCGTGCAATCTTCTGTGGTAACTTGTTTCAAAGGATGTTTAAGATCTCATTGATGATCATAAACTTTAATTGTTAGCCATCCCCCCCCCATTTCATAGTTAGGATTAGTTTTATAAATTTAAAATTAAGCTAGCTGCCCCTTTACCCCATCATGGCTATACCCACAACTCTTCCAATAGTGGCTCATGCAAAAATAGTTTAAAAAAACAAACAAAAAAACACCAAGTTGCTTATCTGTTTATTTCACCAATCTTTAACAAATAACCACAACCACAGTACTCACCTAGATTCAACATAAACAAAGCTAATGTATTTGTGCAAAGTAATACATATTTTGGGGATTGAATATGTTGCACCATGTAAATAAGGTTTTAATAATAAAGGTCAGGCGTTCCATAAATTACTACAATGTTAAGAAAAAAAAAAGAATACATAGCAATATGAAAAATACACATCTGTACAACAACTAGTCTGTCGAAAAACCTATATTTAAATATTCTGTTAAGTCTGTGATGGACAAGAGGTTTAATTAAAGCATTAAAGCAAATTAGCTAGCATTACACAACGCTGCAACGTGTAGGAGGGAATCTGATACGAAGCTCAGAATGGACAGTCACATAAATCATTACAAATCCTCTAAAAGTGGCCTAATGAAGCTGACAAATTCAACAAAGAGGGAAGGAAAACAAAAAATACAATTAAAATTCTCCCACATCCACCCTCTTGTCTCTGAACTTATTTCTGGCCTTGGTCCGAGCTTTGAATGCAGCAGAGTTGTGGAGATGCTGAAGAAAATAAAAAACGGATATGAAAAGGTTGGAATTAGAGGTCGCCTTGAATTGGAACAGTTTTTTTCGGGGGGGAGGTAGCCATGTAATGCATAATTACCCTTTCAAAGCGAGAAATCTTCATGGCCTTCATTGTGGCTGAATCAACCAGAATGGGTGGTCCCAGTTCAAACACATCTCTGATGAACTCATTGGCCTGGAGGAATAAACATAGAATGGTTCAAAAGAAACTAATACCAGTTTAACCTCTCCACATTTTGCCACATTAAAACTAAATTTAGTGTAATTTGCAGGGATTTCATGTCATTTTTCTGCAACAAACTTAACTGCAGAGTTATGCATCCATCAACTCAGGCAGTATCTGTAGGGTCGATGTTCAGCTTAAAGCAGAACTTCTACTTAAAACAGGTTGAATCAGCTTGAGAAATTCCCTCAGCATGACACTACCACTGCCATGTTTAATATCATGGTCTAAATGCTGTTTGTTGTCCTGAAATTTATTTTGGGCAAAGTTAAAAAAGCATTTTTTTTAATTAGATAACTTCGAAAGGTTAACAGTAAGTACCTGCAGGTGGTAGTTCATCCCAGAGCCCACAAACTCTCTGAAAGTGTCATAGGTCCTCTTCCTGACCCAGCTGTCGATGGTCATGCGCTCGGTTCCGAACCGAATCGTCTCAGACTGGAAGTCCCCCTCCTGGAAACAAATCATCCAAATATAGCAAAATGAGAACGAGGGATTATAAAACATAATGTTTTCACCTATGAGTAAAAGTCGCTCACCTCGACAGCTTTAAGCACATCCCTGAACACGGACCTCTGCTTCCTCTTGTCAGTCTTGGCTCTGTGCTTGTTGCAATCGGTAGCTAACGCATTGAGCTTATCACACAGCTCGTCCCACTCGACGAACTCAAATTCCTGAACATATGAAATATCCGAGGTTAAGATCTCCTTGTGAAGTCGGCAATCTAAGCTTTTGGCGACCCGCAGCCAGTGGGACATGAAACAAAAGCTTAACTTACAGAATCGATGTCCCTGGCCAGCTCAAAGAGCAAAGCAATAGTCTCCCCTGCAGCGATCCTCATGTTGACGTCGTCGCTCTGCAGCAGCTGCGGCAGTCTAGGAAGATGTCTGTGCAACAAAAACGACAGAAACTTTAGCAACAGAGACTTTAAATCTAAACTGTACTGGTCAGATTCTCACTTTTTCAAGACGTCCTTGAGCTGGTTGGCTGAGCAGATGGTGAGCAGCAGGGCCCAGGACAGCAGGGCGTTGACGTAGAGCTGGCTGGTTTGCGGACTGATCGAGGGACAGGTTCCGTCTCCTTTCAAGTAGGCGCGGGTGAACAGGTTTTCGAAGCACTCCATCGTCGCCTGCACATCCTGAAACAGCAAGGGGACAAAAAATAAGCAGGAGTGCCTATTTCTTTGGAAATACTCGACTTTGATAGAGAGACTCTCAAAAATATTCAGAACCAGTTATGCAGGCCGTCCCAGCTGAACTCTGTCAACAACTTACCAAAATGTCATCCTCTGCAACAAGTGTACAGAGCCCCAGGCTGGTTGCCACCTATTTAAAGAAGAAACACGCGGATTTCAGTGGAGGTCAGCTGGGAATTGATAGAATTAAAATTAGAACGGTTTCATGCTTAGAAAAGTGAAAAAAGGGCAAGCAGACTCACAGCTTGTCTCGCCTGCATGTTGGCTGATCCATCTGCCAGGATGTTTTTGAAGATGGGCTTCAGGGTCTTAAACACCTCCTCGCTCTCAATTCCAGAGCCCAACTGAATACACAGCAAGCACGCCAAAGAAGCTGCCGCCCTCTGCTCCTCTCCTTTACCTGGCAACAGGGAGAACAGGCGTCAACTTCTTCCCTCAATTACAGGAGAAATTTACTAGGAATGGGACCTCTTTGAAACCCTAATCTGCTGAAACTTCATTATCATAAAGAGACGCCAACACAGAATAGGCAGAGTCTTCCTACAATACCTTTCTTTAGGCAGCGCTCAATGCTATCTGTGATGGTCATCCTTCGTTCAGAGATAAACTCGTACAGGATCCGAGTGGCCATTGCCGTCTTCAGACCATCCAGAGCCCCTTGTCTGGTCTTAGCACTAAGAGACATAAAGAGAGAGAGGAGTAAGAAAAAACACAAAAAACCTCAAATAATCCAGATGTTTTTTTAACATAATTACACATAAAGATCCAATGGGTTTTATTTCCATGAGAAAAGGCATCAAAACTTTATGTTTTACCAGTGCTACAACTTAAAATCGATTAATCTGATTATTATTTTTCCAATTAATCGATTACTAATCAGATAGCAAATGAAGATTTTTTATGAAATTAAACCAGCAGAAACTAAAACTTTTTCACTTCAGGAATGCTGGATAGAGCCTATTGAAAGAAGAAAAGTTTTCTTCATCTTAAATGCAAAATATTTCTATATTTATCTTCAATTTTGATATAATTACTGCTCTAAGTGGGTCAATCTATCAACTAAAGGCATGTTTTAGAGTCTATATACTCCAGTTAACGATTAATCGATTCATAAATTAGTTTATCATTATTTGAATGATCGATTAATCCGATCAATTGTTTCATCCCTAGTTTTTACATTCAATATTTGACACTAATGGAATCAAGGATGACCTCCTTTGCTGCTAAAACATCTAAGAGTCAGCCTAAAATATACCAAGCCTGGTTTGTTCCTCAACTCAGAGTTCTACATGAATCTGTATGAAAATTCGAATTTCTACAAAATGACATCCCGATCTTAAAATTAGAAGGGACTTTAACCTCTTATCCACAGTGCTGTCTATGAACCCCTTCAGCTTATACTGGAAATCCTCCAGGGCGGTGTCCTCACTCGCCTCTCCACCTTCAAAAATTGTAAAAACATTGTTAATAATAAACATTTACAGAACCCTCTACATTGTTTACAAACAGTCAAGCCTACCTTCATCTGCTACACTTGTGACATCACTTATGCTGCTGCAATGACTGAGGGTCTCGATGGAGGCGTCCTCATCGCTGAAAGGCTGCACAGCTCCATGCTGGCCCCCTAGAAAAAAAAAAGAACACACAACAAAAGAAAAAGATTAGAAGCTTTGTTCTGCAAAAATGTGTCACAGACTAAATCCCTTATGCAACTCCAGGCATCATACAGGTACTGCAGCAAACACCATTGTTATCTAATCACTTGTGTTCTTTGCGTAGCTTATCCTGCAGTTGCTATGTATGCAAAGGTGGTCGAGGTGAACTGACTTCATGTGCAAACAGCTGTGTTCAGACTGGAGAGTTTGTCAAGATTGCCAACCACTGCAGTTGCAACACTGAACAGAAAGATGGCTTCAAATAACCAAACATCTGTTTTTTTAAAGAGGAAGCAGACATTCTCCCTTAAAGCTATAATTTGACCAAAACAGAGATATCCACTTAAAGCAATCTGTGATATGGAATAAGATGATTAAGCACTTAAATTATCTATATCATTTCTAGGTTAAGAGTAGTTTCAATGGACTTTATCTTTCTAAACAAGACAAAGCGATCGATATGTGTGAGGAACTGATGCTGCCTTTGTGAGGTCCGGTAAAAAAAAAAATCCTTTCCACTTTTAAAGTGGAAATTATCAGTGTGTTGCATTCGAGTACTTTTGTTGTGGTAGAGAAAAGGGCCATGGTGGATCCACAGGTTATCCAGTTTTAGACTCATTTCTTGGTTCCAGTAAATCATGCGCTCAAAGACGACTGCTAGGTAACATCTGATCAAATCAAACTGTTATTGTAAAAACACAAATTTAAATGGCGATACTGTAAACATTTATTTACGTTACAGCATTGTGTAGGCTTCAAACAATGGAGAGAGTTTACAGTACACATCATATACACAAGGTCAAAGTTAACCTCATTTCCTACAATGTTTACAGCTCTCCAGTGGAAATTTCTTGTTCAGAAAGATAAAGTCCATTCATGTCTGTTTTTAGTATTTACCATAATTACGATACTACATGAAGGCAGCATTAGTAACAGCAATCTCCAGATAAGTTTCTGGACATTGGTGAGCAGACTGAAACTGTTGCTTCTGTGTTTACAAAAGGACATTTTGTTTTCTTTTTGGAAGCATTTCCAAATTTGTACAAGCTACACAGCGCCACATCCAGCAACTTCCTCAAATGACTCAGCAAAAATAGTGCAACAGGTATTAATTTATTGAAAATGAAAGGATTTAGAAAGCTTTGCATCTTTTTGATAAATTATATACATAAAATGAAGAGTCAAAATATTCTAACTAATGATCAACATGTTAGATCATTTTAACCCTGACGTACACAATCAGACACATGCAGTGAACAGAAAACCTATAAATTACACAGAAATGCCTGTATAAAAAATTTTATCAAAATAAATTATCTAATTTAACTTAAACAAAACGTATGTTTTTTGTTTTTAAATCGTCAGAAAGTTCAATCATGAGTCTAATTTTGAAGAATTTAGCAAATACCAAGGGACACTCTTGTGTATACAAACATTAAAAATGTGCATAAAACATGCAGGCATTTGTTGCTCAAGAGATGATTTAACTTAAAAACAGTGTAAGCGTAGAATTGTAATATAACAACTAAAGCAGATCATTTAATACTACCAAGGAGAGGAAGTGTTCATGGTTGCAGGCAAGATAAATGTGTGCTTTAGACCTTAGGAATCTTTCTTTAGGGAATATCAGATCAGATTTACAGATGATATACGTCTAGAACAATAATTGCAGGGGTTAGGAGCCAAGTTAAGATGCAACCAGAGCAGACCAGTCTGAGCAGGCTTCTCTGCTTTGACCTGAATTTACCTCCAGAGGACCTGTGTGTTAGCTTATCAAGCTTAAGCTTTACCTTACAAATACACATGCCACGCACGCAGTTTAAGCCAAGAAAATGGCATTTTAGTTAATAATTCACAGACAATCAGTTTGATCATGTTCCACGTGTAATCACTAGGTGTTGACGTGGGCTTTTCCCCATCCACAGCTGATTTCTGGGAACCGGGCGGCGCCTATCTAGCGACCCTGCTATACGGAGGACAAAATGTCCTCCTCCTGCTACCAAACCACTATTACTAATAATACCGATATAAAAACACCCATATCGTTTTTGTTTAACGCCTTTAACACAGTGAAATATTTATTTTGATAGGCAACCGGTAAAATAAATAGGCTTACAAACGGGTTAGCTTGAAACAACACTTCAACTAGCAAAGACTTATGTTGTTTAGGCTAACAGTAAACATTAAACTCGCAGCTTAAAGGTAAAAATAAACAGTCCCGAATGAAAATAGCTTTTAAATGTGGATATCGCTTCTGATAATTACATTTACTAACAGAAACCATGTGTTTGGGACACTATGCTAGCTTATTAAACGGAATGTAAACAGAGTTCAGGTGTCTTAACTCGTAACACATTCAAAGTATTATAGATTGTGCGAATAAAATTATCATTTGAAAAATATATATCAAAGCAGAGCTTTGTGTTTTATTTTTTAGCTAGCTTTTGTATCCGCCTAGGCTGGGGTCCAACGTTTGTAGTCCCAACTATCAACACGTACAATTCCAAACAATTAGCAGGGGCTACAAACAAAACTACAACTCCCATCACGGGAACCGCTCGTGGAAGAAAGGCCGCAGCTTAACTGCCGCTCAAATACTCACCCTTGCTGTTCTTCTTCTTGTTCCTTGGCATTTTTGTGCAATTTAATGTAAAGTATTTGATCAAAAATCAGCCAATACACGACCAGCTTTTATTGTATTGTCTAGTAAAGTGAAAACGCTCCCGTGGCACAGTAGATAAAAAGAAATCGAAGGCGATCTTGGAGATAGATTGTTGGCCGAGACGATACATTTTCCTCTCATACACCAGTGCTTCGCTACAGGCTAGCCGTTCTCTGTATTTATACCGACAGACATGTCACGAGGAGCTTTCCCGGCATCACTGACCAATAGAATTGAGTAGAAAGTATCGCGTGTGTTTGGGCGTGACGCAGTGCGTTTATTGTTTTGGTAAAAGGAAGCCAAAAAGCTGAACCTATTTTTTATATTTACATTGTTTATCCCCCATAAAATGTCTTGATATTGTGAAATAAGTTAACATTAACTTGGGCCACTGTATACACAACAATAAATCAAAAACAGCATTTTCGTTTGATTTCTGTTAACACATCTACTTGGCAATGTTTTAATTACAATGTATGTACAGATGGATTATGGATGGTAAAACAATCAAGCCATTGGAAAACGATCAATATTTGTGGTTAGAATATTTTTTGATAAGACTAAACATACATTTGACAAATATTTAAAGCCAAATGTTCTTAAATGCAGATTAAAAGTTCAGATGTTGAAGAAGTCTCTTTTAAACAAATTGACTATAATGCGATTATAATGTATGCATCCCACGTGTTCTTTAGTGTTATTGTGGCTTTATGATAAAGGAGTCTTGACTAGTGATGGTGCTTCAGCTTTTGTGATTAAATGTAACTTCCATAGCATCTATGAAAAAAGCTGATTAAAGAAAGCTGATCATTCGCTCCCTCCAAAATTGAGTTTTTCCATGTCCTGATGTTGGTTGTGCTGTTCTTCTTACATCTCTTTGCAGGTGATGAGCAGACTGAAGATGTTTTATCCTTATCCCCATTTTATCTCCTCTTCCTTTCAGCTTTTCTCCTTTTCCTTTCCTCTTCTGCTTACATTGCAGTGTCTATAAAATCTGTAATACTCCCTGCATGAATTATAATAAAGCTATTTATATACATAAATCAAGCGGAACAATATGGCGATTGCCGTACTGCTCCACTAGTGAAAGCAAAATCTGTTGGGCTCTTTTTGGCATCAAGACAATTATTCTTATAGCCACATCGCCAGACAGGACCCTGTAAAAAAAAAAAAAAAGAAAATGTCCTGATGTAAGTAGAATTTGGGGGGCAATGGGTTAGGAGAATCAATGGGACAAAGGAGGGGTCATTTGCTAGTACTATGGCAACATGGGTGTTAGACCATGTTAAGATGGGGTTAGACTTTGACAACATTTATTGTCATTTTGTACACACAGATTATTTACAAAACAAAATTTGTTTTGTACAGCTCTCATGACATTTCCATTTTCTTTAAGTGCAGCAGTGATGAAAAGTTAACATTGTGGGAGAAAAAATATGGTACAAAAAAAAAAACATTGATAAGGTCAGTTTGTAGCTGAGTCTGTGACACGATTTAGAGTTTTTTCAACGTGCAGCAGTCTGACGGCGTTGGGGAAGTAGCTGATTCGGAATCTGCTGGACCTGCACTGAATGCTTCGTAGCCTCTTGCCAGAGGGCAGCAGGGAGAACACTGCATGGTGGTGGTGTGAGGGGTCATTGATAATTTTACCGACTTGGGACATGCATTGCTGGGATGAAATTTCTATTGTGGAGGGAAGAGGAGCTCCAATTATCTTCTCTGCAGTTCTCACTACTCTTCTCACCTTCTTCCAATCTGCAGCATCCACACCACACAGTGAGATAGCTGGTCAGAACGCTCTCTATGGTGCTTCTGCAGAAGGTCATTAGGATGGGTGGGGACAGGTAGGCTCCTCATCCTCCACAGGAAGAACATGCGCTTCTGTGTCCATTTGACCAGTCTGTGATGTGTACCCCTAGAAATTTGGTACTGTTGACCACCTCTACAGCTTAGCTGTTAATGAGCAGTGGAGCGTAGTTAGGCCAGTTCTTCCTGAAGTCAACGATGATCTCTGTCTTCTCCACATTCAGGATCAGGTTGTTGCCTCTGCACCGGGCTGCTCCACCTCCTCTCTATAGTCCTGCTCATTGTTGTCTCTGATGAGGCCCACCACCGTGGTGTTGTCTGTAAACTTCACAATTTGGTTGGTGGTGAACCCAGAGACGCAATCATGTGTCATCAGGGTAAACAGCAGTGGGCTGAGGATGCAGCCCTGGGTCTAACCCAGACTGACGGAGGTCTGTTTGTGAGAAGGTCTAACAGCCAGTTGCAGAAGGTATTGTATTGTATTGAAGTCCAGCTGTTCCAGTTTTTAGATCAGATGCGTTGGGTTCATGGTGTTGAAAACTGAACTGAAGTCCAAGAACAGCATTAGCACGTGGCTGTTCATCTCCTCCAGGTGTGCCAGGCTCAGGTGAAGAAAAGAGGAGATGGCATTTTCAGTGGAGCAGTTTTGTCGGTAGGCAAACTGGAACAGGTCGAATGATGGGGAGAGACTGGAGATGATGTGTTCTTTAACCAGCCTTTTGAAGCACTTCATCATGATAGAAGTTAGTGTGGCAGTCATTGAGTGAGGTGACCTGATGCTTTTTTTGGGACCGGAATGATGGAGGCAGACTTAAAGCATGCTGGCATTATGGACTGGTCCAGCAAGGTGTTCAAAATGTCTGTGAGGACACAGCCAGCTGATCTGCACACTCCTTGTACACCTGCCCAGGTATGTTATCAAGGCCTGGGGCCTTTCTTGGTTAGACTATCCTCAAAGTTTTCCAAACATAGGTGCTGTTTTGTTTTTATTCTGAATTCTATTGTTGGGGGAACAACAGCAACTATCCTTTATCCACTTGAAATGGTAAACCACAAAAGAAACTTTAAACAAATAGGATCTAATTTTTTAATTTTTTTTTTACAACTCTGTGCAGCTATTAGCTGCAACAGAACCTTTTGCTGCTTTCAGTTCTCCTTTCCCTTGCTATGCTCAGTTTAGATTTTTTTTTTTTGCAGCTTTTGATAACACAAGCTTTGCATTGTATCCTTCTCCTTGATAATATTTTAGTAGATTTTTGTCCTGGTTCAGAACTTTATTCGAGCTACTTTCTCAGGATGAAGCTAATGACAGAGCTGGTGCTGCCGTTAACAATTGTTGTTTACCTTCTGCTATATGAAATGGCATTTTTAAAAACAATTTATAAATAAAGTAAAAAAAAAAAAAAAAACACTACTAAACAGAACCACACATAGAAACACAAACTTCATCTCCACCTTTAGCCGAGTAGACCATACAAATTATTGGGTTTTCAAATGACATGATATAGCTTAAAAAAGCAGTTTACTGCAATAAAATTCCAGACTTTTTCCTAGCTACATACAGTGCATGCATGAACATGCACAACATTGTTTGGCAATATTTGGAACTCTATGCAATTTCCAATTGAAATGAAGTCAAAAGTTGGTTCATTCAACACCTATCTTTTTTATTTGACCTTGTGTGTGAGTATGTGTTTTGACGAGTTAAAACAATCTCACTGGATATATAGTACAGCCTTCATTTTGCTGTTCCCACGCCTAGACTGTCAGCAGCATTTTCCCCAGCGCTGAATAGAAAGAAAGTGCTGCTGCTTGCAGAATTCAAATCTGACTCTATCTTTTTTAGTGCACCCTACATTAGACTAGACATTTTTGGAGAGGTGTACCAGAAACTCACAATTACTTTAATGCATCGAGCTCAAAACTTTATTTCTTTTTGATTTTCTATTTCTTAATAAGAAACATTCATGTTCATGATGCACACTTTGGATCAGAGTACTCTTCTGTAGCAGTGGCTACGCTACGCCCTTAAGCCACAGCATATATGGACAGAAATGCTCCCCTGTTTGCAGCACCAAGCTTAAATAATTAATTAGCCTATGTTGGGTGTGCTGAGTAGGTGCAGTGACACTGTGTGAAGAGTGCAAAGTCTATTGGGAAACACATTTAAAAATTCCTCAAAATCTCAGAAATTATGCATGGTGAAATACAATCTATTAAATTCATTTGACCCAAAAAAGCTGGTTTGTGACACAGAAATTAAAACCATGCTGTACTGCCTAAAAACATAGATTCCCTGGGACTTCAAATCAAATCTTAATAGACTCTGACACTAGGGGGTGCCATCCTGTTTAAAATTCAAAGAGCCACCAACTCTGCTTTCACTGCAGTGTAGCAAGTGGGATTCTCAAAGATGTTTTTTATGATGCATAATTTATGAAGTGAATGAATGTTGCTCGATGCTTAGCTGTGTCTGGCTTTAAACGTTTAATGAGCTGGAGTGGGCAATGCAAATATGAAATGATACAAGATAGGGGAAAAAGAGATATCTAACACATTACGAGGCTGAGGAATAAACGAGCAGATGTTATGTTTAAAGGCACATTTAAGGGGCCCTGGCACGATGAAGCAGTTATTAGAGGGAGGAGAGAGGGGAAGGAACGATGTTGGAGTAATGGGAAAAGCAGGGCAGCTTGGTCTGGCCTCGTTCAGCATGCCCTGCGTGTTGCATCAGTGGGCACAAGCCCTGACCAACCTGATGCCACAGGAATACAAATCAAACGCTGCAGAAAGTGGAGAGTGAGACATGGGGCTGACAGGGGATAATAGAAAATGTCTGAATATTAATTCCATTTGCAATGCTTCTGTATTAAATAATTCATAAATGACATAGCCTGGAGCTATGTGTGTATTGAGACTGACTGGGTTTAGCCTGTTGCTGCAGGAAAGGAGCTAGAAAATAATCTTGTTGTCTGAAAAGATGATGAAAACACAACATTAAACAGAGATGAGCAGAGGTGATTGTTTAAAAAAGATTGCTTTGACATGTCAAAGTGTATTCCAATAACCAGAATAAATTAATATCAAGGTTCTTTATCTGTTTGTGTTTCATGATTAAATCATTTGCAGCTGTACTTTTGTTTTTTGTTTTTTTGTTTTTTTTTGCAGGACCATACAAAGACCCATATTGTTTTACATTACATTGATTGTCGGTTTTATATTTTGGAACATAATAAAATCCTCTTTACCCATTTCTGAAACTATGCAACGCTTAAGTAATTGTTAGGAACTTTCGGCTATGAAAAAATAAATATTCTAGTTTTCAGGTAATTTCTGCTGCGTTCAAAGAATATAGCTG